GTGTGAATTCTAACTTTGTAAATAGTTAATTAAAACTATTGATCTGACTGATTGTCCGACAGCAGCATCGATACACACCTCCAGAGACTCTGCTCCAGAACAAACTTAACAACTCTCGCTTTTCATTTATGCTTCAAACGTGAGTGAGCTGAGGACTGTGTCTGAGGCCGCTTTATACGGAGGTAGCCCTGCCACAGCCACTCCGCTCAATCATAATTTCTCTGCATGTAACGTCTAGGTCTGGTCCCTGTGTTTGCGATTGCAATCGGTGGAATTCCATCCGACCAATCAGCGAGTGCGGGAGGCGGGTGAGTGACGGCAAGAGTTTGCGCCGAACGGCCAGGTTGTAGTTTGGTAATGGCGAAGAATGGGATAGTAAAGTAATCCTATCTGGTTCTATCAAGAAATTGAAGCCGAAGCAAGAGGAATGTTTTGCAAAAGTCATTGCTGGCAAAGATTGTGGCGCTACTCCCCACGGGCTCCGTTAGCGACAAAGGAGATGGCTAGGCTAAATGCTAGATGCTAACGACTCACTCGGGCGCATTACATACGTCACGGTAAACTCAGATCCAATCGTTTCAATCTGCAAAAGGAGTTAACCCCTCCCACCTGTTCACGGAGCTCAATGGAGCACCTCCAGACCTTAGTACGAAATGTAATTTGTAATATGGTGTGGTACCAACAGGCTAATTTGGAGGTGCCGCGACAATAAAACGTTGGAGTTGGGTATCGGTTTGACCTTCCGTTTATAATGGCCTTCCTAGTTTGTGACTTCCTCTTACTCAGATGGCAATAAAAGTATTCTGATTCTGATTAAACTATGACCTCAGCACTTCCGCACACACATTTGGACATGTGCAGGAGCCGAGATCAACCGTAAACAACAATGGTGGCGGGTCAACAAACAAAGTATGTGTGCTGCCAGTGCTACACAGAGGAGAATTCTACTCGAAAAGCTGTAGTCTCAGTTTCCATTTTCACTGCTGCTGTTAAACGCAGAATGATGTTGGTTCTATCACGTCTCTGCGGCGGCCTGAGGAGGATGTTGTTGAGGAAATGGTTGAACTGCTGGAGGTTGCGTGCGTCATGTTGTAAAGTTCCACAGCCCCCTACTGGCCGGGCGTTAGAACTACGTAGTTTTCTGCCGTCGTATTGACCAGATGCATCAACGTCATCAATACGGAGTAGTCGTGGAAGCTAGCATTGCGGCGAGAGCAAATCGGACTAGAAATTTTAAAAACTGAGACTCCTAAATCAAGACGTGGCTGCTTCAAGCACATGTTCGATAACGTTATCGTGGAAGTAGATCTTGTCAGGGCTCAAGTTAAGGATCGACAGTAGTAAGAGCACACGTTTGACTTTGTTGTGTCATTGTCTTCCAAATAAATTTATGGAAAGAAAATAGATACAAAATTGTAAATCATTAATCTTGTAAAAAGTGTTCACTGCAAATTAGGGAGTAATTGAATGGCTCCCAGTCCTTTTGGTTTGATTGCCGCCATTGTCGTCTTCTGTCTTCATGACGAGCAGGTATCAGATAAAGACACATTTGGCTTATGTCCTTGCCTGTTTGTACAACCAACTGCTCTGCACAATATCAGTTTTGGTTGTTATTCCATGAAACAGGTTGTTTTGGTCAAGTTTACGAAGGCTCGCAGTTAAGACTTCCACCCTGTGTCATGGAGAGTGGGCGTGGCCGGGACGTCACATGCAAGGGGTTAATGAACGCTGTGGAGGACCCTGGTTGTTTTGGCCAATTGTCTTTCAGCATCTCCGCAGCGTCTCCATTTAAACAGAGAGTTGAATTAAAACATTTGTGACTTGGAAAGATTTATTTGTGTCTTCAAAAAAGTTACAAGAAACAACAGGCAACAACAGGACTGCAACTAACAATTATTTTGATAATTGATCAATCTAAATTAAATGTCTTTGATTCATATATCAGCTTTTTTTGTGATTTTTGAATGATTTGCCTCAGAAGAAGTTGAAGTGAAGCCGCTGGAAGACATTTCCAGACAAAACAATTGTACTATTGTGTAATTGAACTGACAACTAAGAATGCATTAATTATGCTCCTTACATTTTTAAAATATTTACTTTTTTATTGTGGCAAATTAAAAAAGGAAGGATAAACATGTATTAAGGATAACAAATGGTCTCAGTATGTAACTCTCCACTTCTACCACCAGAGGGAGGTGTTGTAAAGTTTGTCATTTCACCGGAGAAACGACCAAAACCAGTGTTATTGATAATGGGTTTAAATAAAAAATGTTTTGGTTTTGCTTTGTTTTTGACCCAAAACTGGAGCAAAGAAGGCCGAGTGTTAGACTGTGTTTGACCTGTTTATATATTTAAAAAAAAAAGAGATTCTAAATGGCGTTTTTGGTTCATTGTTCAGCACAAAATGAATGTGCTTGTCTTGTGTGAGAAAATAGCTTTAAAACGAGGCCATGGCACGTATTACAGTTACAAGCTTCTATTTAGTGGTGTTCACAGAAGAGAATTGTGATATTTAATTCAATGATTATGTTTATTTGAGTTTACTCTGGTACGCTGGTAATTAACATTTGCGTGTTTCATCCACAAGGTGGCGTTTGTTGCGGTGCTTTGTTTTTTGAGCATTCATTCAACAGGAAGTTCAAATGAAAATGTCATCATCACAAACGCTTCTACATGTCGAGTGTTTGCTCTTCAGTTAACACTAGAACTCCCAGAGCAGTCAAATTGAGAGGTGTAATTCTCAGCATATGTACCTTTTTGGTCTTCACAACTTTGAGACTTTTTCTGTATCTCTAGTAGTTTATTCATCATTCATCATTATCTTATTTATCTTTTATCTGTCTGAAATTATCTATATTCTTTTTGAAATGTGAGTAGTTCTATCTTTGAAGAGCGAGTGCTGGTTACTATAGCAACACACCGTTTACCGTCAGCAGTTAGCATTTGGTCTTTAGCATTGAGCCTCTCAACAAACTAGCTCTGAATAAAAGTGAGTAAAGGTTAAAATAAAAATCTGGTGAAAAAACTGAGAATTCTTCGGGGGAATTACTCAGAATTACTGTAGATTAGTTTGAATGGGCCCCCACTGAAAGATCAAGGCTATGCTCACACTCAGAGAGCAGCCGTCCTCCTGTGGACTCACCACCTGCAGAGGGTCAGTGAGGGGCTGGTGCTATGAGACTTGGGTGGCATCTCTGACTGCCACCCCCCTGACCCTGAAATGGATTAAAGGGTAGAAAATGGATGGATGGATAGTTTGAATGGGAGCAGTCAAAAAGACGGCTCTCCGGTGTTCCAGTACTTGAGCAATCTTATTTTCGTCCATTTTGTAATGGCTTTGAGTAATATGAGGGACATGAATAACAATAAATCGCATCGCAATATTTGTTGTAGGGCTGGGCGATATGGCAAAAAAAAAAAATCTCCGATTTTTTCACACCAAATCCGATTTTCGATTTTAATCGATTTATTTTTTTCTATTTAAAAACAAACTACAACTGACAAAGAAATAGATTTTCCTTTATGCAGTTCAATCTAAATCCCCATGGAGCATAAGTGTAACAGGAATTAAGCCTTAAAACATGCTTGTAAACGAGATGGCTCTGCCATTGTAAACAGTGAAAATGTAGCTTAACAGTTTTATAATAACTTCACTTACAATGACACTATGCACCTTCAAAATAACTTAAATCACACAAACAAGGCCCATCGCAAATATATCAATCCTATTAAACACATGCATTATTTACATGAAATATCAGATTTTTAAAACTGATTACTCAAAATAGAAATGTTGTAACAGACAGTCTTTTCCAAAAGCCTCCTCGGGTTTTCATGCTTGTTCTTTCAACTGTGCCTGAGTAACTGTGCTGTAGTACAACGCTCGGTCCAGCTGGTGGCGCTAATACTAACTTCAGTGACTCCCGCATTGTGCGAGCTTCCTGTTTACATTCTGATGCTGTAGCTAACAGCTACTGTAGCAGCTACTGTAGCTAACAGCTACTGTAGCTAACAGCTACTGTAGCAGCTACTGTAGCTAACAGACAGCGGGGAACACGTTGTTTGTATCAGAGCAATGAGAGCAATGTGTGAGACGTGTCTTTCCCCAAAGTGCAGCGGCTCAGTGGGACACGAGTGTGTGCGCGCCACGGACACGGGAGTGAGCTTTGGAATAACGAGCGTGAGAGAGCGTGAAAGATGTGGCGTACGAACATGGCGTACGAACATAACGACCGGAGCCTGCGTGCGTGTGTGTGTGTGTTCTGGCGATTTAAATAAAGTCTGATTCTTGAACGTTTGAAGTGTTATTGCAACAGCACCAACTGTGAGAGCGCGCATCAGGCCAGAGGGAGACTGTTAGCATTAGGTTAGCTTCAAAATGACTGCTCAACACCATAGACCCGCGGTTAGCGCTGTAGTTCTGCGCTGGAGAAAATAAAAATCGAATTTTTAAAAAAAGAAATCGCCCTAAATGTAAAACTCGAATTAATGATTAAAATCGATTAATCGCCCATCCCTAATTTGTTGTATCGCAATCGTTGTTGTATCGCAATAAAATTGAATTGTATTGTATGGCAATATCATAGGCCCGTTATGGACCGATGGCTCTATGTGTTTTAATTTTAATCATTGCATTTCTTGTGTTTGAACTGTTGGATTCTCTGATCTGTTGTTGGTCAATTCCACGGTTTTGAAAAGTCTTTTGAGATAACTCCTGTTGTGATTTAGAGCTGTACAAGAATACATTGAAATTGAACATTCACATTTTTGCTTTTTCCAAACACTTAGAAGTTTCTGTATTAGCATGGATGAAAACGACAACAAGGTTTGCTTTTGAGGATGGAACATAGTTGGTTAAAAGCTCAAAAAAGGCGATTTTTTTGTGCTTCACGTCTCCTTAACGTGGCCACTGCCTTTATTTCTCTGGAGGTTTCCGAGTCTTATCTCTCACTCGTTATGTTTCACGGCGTTACTATGAGCTGGCAGCCGTGCAGAATATCATGTCCTCCTCTCTCACCAGGCGCCGCTCTGGCCCCGTCTTCCACACCAGTCACTCGGAGGAGATTTCACAGCCGGCGCGGAGCAGAGATAAGTGCTGCGCAGGTGAAAAGCGTTGAAAAGAGTTTAGACATTAAGCCACTGAGGAGAGGAGGAGGCGGAGACAGTCGAAAGCCCGGGATAAGGAGCACAGAGCTGCTGCAGAGAGTGAGCGGCGAGGAGATAAAATAGGCACAGTGGATCTGGGTTAAGCACCATCACAGTCTGAGGAAGCACCACGCCACATCAAACGAGACACACACACACACACACACACACACACACACACACACACACACACACACACACACACACACTATAAACAGTACTGGTGACAAGCCTGAAACATGGCCCTGTTTGTTACCTGTAAAATCTCTACAGTCTTGCGTTGATCCAAAGAGGAAGGGGAAAGGGAAGGATCTGAGGTTAATGGGGCCAGGTGTGGATTTGGAAGAAATAATAAGTCAAAACATGTACAGTGTTTGTTTATGACTGGTGGCTACGCAAGATTCTTGTCTCGTGGTGAGATGAAGGAGGACCCAAGAAGCAGAAATGCAAATAATAACGATAAAATAAAAGATAACACATGTTAAAAATCCCCACATATCTTTTTTAAATAAAAATAAAAAAGATTTAAGTGAGCTTTGGAAAAGTCACAGACTTCAATTTCAAATGTGTAGCATAAGAGATTACAGGCAGAGAGCAGTATTTAACCCTTAATACTGGTTTCCCCATAGATTTTATCCTTATTTCTTTCAGTTTAAAGAGCCAAAAAAACTGAAACAGAATGACTGACTGGCCTTGTATCAGTAGAGAGACTAAACAGTAGAAAGAGTTTGATCCAGTTTCCTGGTTCATCCCGTCTGTCCTTAGACCCTTCTTCATCGCTGAGGAAAAAACATGAAAATGGGAAAGTAAATAGTCTCATTATCCTTTGGCCACAAGTATTCTGTTAATTTTCGAACCATACAAATGTGTAATCAGAATTGTCTTCAAGCCAGTAACTAAGCTGCGCGTTGGGGTCCGCTTCGCCCTGTCGGTACTTATTTTCCGATAATGAACTGCCTACTTTACATTATCCCGCTTATTATACGGCTTTGTACCAACAGAACACACAAAATAAACTTCGGTCCACTCTTAGGAATGCTGAAAGGTTTATTTAAAGACAGAAAATAAAATAGTTCCCAAAGGTTTTCCCGTGGCTATGCGAGTAACAGTTTGGCTCCAAAACTAGAACTCTCTGGAACTGCATGAAAACTGAACAAAGAATTCTGAACATCAGCGCTGAGTGATCCAAATATAAACTCAAATTAAATCCATAATTCCATAATCTGCAAATGTTCCTAAAATGTCCCGGAATCTACTTCCGTGTTTGTCGCAATCGCTTTTTCGCGTATTAAAACAGTATTTTTGTCATGAAAACGTTAACAGATAATTCTGAAAACTTCTGTGCATGTGTATAAAGAATGTATATGTATAATGTATTCTCAGATTAACATTCAAGTGTGTTGATTGATTGATTGGTATTTGCGTTTATTGAGCGTGGCAAGCTCCGGAGTGGCCGGAGCTACTTGTGGAGTAATCTACACATCTGAATTACAAGCAGCGGGTGCGTTGCCAAAGGGCAGCAGTCATTGTTTTGAGAGGTCCGTTATAGAAAATAATGACCGGTAGAACGTCTTGAAATTTCATTCAAATCCATGGAGCGTTCTACTGCTGCTGTGAGGAGCCGTGTGATAATCTGAGTTTAGATTCAGATTTAATCATAGTGGCCATTTGCAGTAAAACCACAATGGAATACATATGCAAGAGTCCCCAGTGTGCACCAGACTCGTACATCAATAAAACAAACGAAAAAGTACAGAGAAAAAGAATGAACCTTTTATATTTGATACAGAAACAATTTTCACTGTGAAATTGGTCTACAATTACACTACCGATCAAAAGTTTGGGGTCACATTGAAATGTCCTTATTTTTGAAGGAAAAGCTGTAGATAACTTTAAACTAGTCTTAACTGTAAAGAAATACACTCTATACATTGCTTATGTGGTAAATTACTATTCCAGCTGCAAATGTCTGGTTTTTGGTGCAATGCTGTAATTGCTGCAAATGGAGGATTCTTTGACAAAAACAAAGTTGGATGTAAAACAAATCTTATATCAAATACAAATCATTATTTCTAACCTTGTCGATGTCTTTTCTATTCATTTCACAACGTATGGTGGTGAATAAGTGTGACTTTTCACGGAAAACACTTGGGTGACCCCAAACTTTTCAACGGTAGTGTATGTTTAAACTGATAACATTTTGTGGGAAGAAGCTAACTATATGTTCTGCCACAGGGAAGAAGCTGGAACATGGCTCTTCCAGGGGCCAGAAGAGTCCTTGCTTATTCTAAGAGCTTGGTTTCGGAGTCTGGATGGGCGTGATGTTTTTTAATATCTGCAGTGCACTTGTGGAATAGTTTATAACGCTGTCCAATAGGAATCTACAAAGCATTAAATAAGACGCTACAGCAGAGAGTGTGGCAGAGGATTATACAGCGAGCTTTCACAGCCGAGTGACGCCTTTATCCCCGCACTCGTCTCCTCTGCTCTCACTGTCGTTCTAATCCACATATTCCCAGTTTGTGATGTGCTGACATGTCGCTCTCCACACACAGACACAGCTCTAACTCAAGGATCATCTTTTCACTTTCATGTTGTCTCTGAGTTTACTCTGGTCCTTTCCATCTGAGGCTCCTCTATGATCTGGTCTGTTGTATTTGAGTAATGTAAATGATGGGAGCTCACCATTCATGTTCAAATAAGTGTAATGTACAAATCCATGTTTGCCTGGAATCATCTTCCAAGAAACATTTTTTCATCTCAATTCATGAATGAGTTTTGTATAAGAACGGAGTATTCTGTAATTCCCCTTTTTAACTTTTCTTAATTACAACAATAGATTAGGTCCAGAGTGAGGGTGAGTGAGTGTATGCAGATGTGTTTGTCTATGTGTTGTGTGAGTGTGTCTGTGTCTGTGTCTGTGTCTGTGTGTGTGTGTGTGTGTATGTGTGTGTGTGCGAGTTTGTGATTGCCTTTGTAATTTTTGCATCTTTATAAGGTTGTTATGTATTGTCATGTATTTTTGTTAATGCCTTTTGCTTGACTTCCGAGAGACTATAGCTGTGATTGAGCGCACCGCTAACTCTGAGGGGAAGAGCTTCACTCACCCAAACACAGCTTCACGGCTCGTTACGCTGTCATTATGCAAAGTATTGTTGATCTGAACACCAGCCTGTGCCGCTCAGTGAGGAAGGAAGAGGTGACCCGGGTTTTTGTCTCAGTGGGAACGACCTCGGGGTGAGCGATATCTCAATATTTACCATATATCGATATGAATGTAAAAATGTGACAGAAGCACTTTGTTCCTACTTGAACTCACTACTTCTTTGAGTTTCAATATAAAAAGACTTTAGAATTTGGTTTATTTGTTTCTGCAGTAGTTTTGGAGGGTTACTTATCCTGTAAAAATATATTTATAGATTGTATATCGCAAAATATATCAAGATATCCTTTTTGCTCCATATCGCCCCAGCCCTAGAATGATCCTAAAGTTTGTACGTTTTATGAAACTTAGAGCAGAATGAGAGCTGCTATAAGTTTCATAAAACTTTTACCTTTAAGCTTTGTCTTAAAGCTATATGAGTATTTTCTTCTTCCGGGTGGATCCTCAAGACTATTGATCGTCCCAATTATCATTCTGGTGATACATAATTGTCAAATAAGACCAGAGAGTTATGTTCAAACAGTGGAGAGGGCGGTTCTTTCCTAAAATTTGGGAAAATCCTCCAATATACCTTTAATTGTAACTCTGATCACAGTTCTTTTTGAACCAAGTGAAAGTTATTTGTCTGTTAGTTATACTGTTAGTATACGTAATAATATGTATCGTGCAGGTTCAAGATAAATAAATTAATAACGAAGTCATTTAAATAGCTGTTGGATTCCACATCTATTTAAATTATAATGTTTTTATATTAAACTATGTCATGTTTCTGAAAATAAATAGATAATAAAAAAAACAGTTTTTCAACAAAGTAAAACAGTTTATTGCAGGCCCTCTTCATTCATAATGCATGTCTTGTAGCTGGCTCTGGGTGTATTGTCCTTGACTATAACGATCTGAATATTTCTGCTCTCAAACAGTGCGAGGGAGATTGCTTCATAATGCGACGCTGACGATTACCTTTCTTCAGGAGAGCTTTGTCGAGCGCGGAGACTTTAAAGACATCAAAGCCTCACCGTGGCTTTTGTTTTGTCCGTGTGCATTTATCACCGCGGCCGTCACTGGGAGGACTTGTTGACTGTGACGAGGCGCAGACAGAGGGTCACTTTGCCGTTGATTCTAAAGAGAGAGATCTCGGAACAGTGTGTGGCGCAGGCTTCATTGACATGCAAAGCAAAGGGGACTGTATTCAAGGCAATTTTCAGGCTGTTATTGCGATCCTGTGTGCCCGGTTAATTCAGCTACTATCAAGCACACGTTAAATGATACGAGTGTGCTAATGTGTCCGGAGACCAAACGTAGCCTAAATTATTCATGGGTTCCTATTGTGCGGTGTAATTACGCCATCTCTGTCGCACTATGCATTTTAAGCAAAAGGTTATATGTAAAAGAGACGAGCTGCAGAATGCACTGGTTTTATCATGTTTGGACATTTATGACTGAGTGGTTTTACTTCAGGCTGTTGTTCTCATCACGGCGTGACTTAAGACGAGGAAAGTAGTGACAGATCAGATAAAATAGGATAAAACTTGATCTCACAATGGAGAAATGTCACTTTTGGCATAAGATCACTCAGGGCGTGCAAAAAGACAGGAAATGGGCATGTTAATAAAGTGAAAAGAAATACAGTCTCTTACAGTATGTGCAACTAATTTACAATTATAAAGTGACTATAGCAGTGCAAGTTTCCAGTCCTAGTGCAGGTTATTCATTTACTTATTGTACAGTCTTACAGCGTTGAGGCCATCTTCTTGCACTGAGGCCTCAGTCCAGGGGCCTCCTGTCCCCCCACCATCTTCCACAGAGTCCAGGGGGCAGCCCAGAGTGGAGCTGGCCCTCCTGACCAGCTTGTTCAGTCTGTTTCTGTCCCGCTCTGTGCTGCCCGGGGCCCAGTTTATTGTTAATGTGAACATCCAGGTACTTGAAGCTGTCCACCAGCTCAATGTCCTCCCCCTGAATGTTCAGCGGCGTATGGGAAAGTGGTTTTCGCCTGAAGTCGATTACTATTTCCTTGGTCTTACTCACACCAGTTGGTTGCACTCACACCAGTCGACAAAGTCTGTGATGACCGACCTGTAGTCCAGTTTGTTCCACTCAGACACACAGCCCACGATGGTGGAGTCATGGAAAGAACTTCTGCAGGTGGCAGCTGTGTGTGTCGTATGTGAAGTATGAAGTGTAGATGGTGAAGAGAAATGGTGGTCGGTCCGAGAGGTCGTCGATGGTCCATGCAGTGACGTCACTGTCCACTCCCGTGTCCTCCATCTCCCCCCGCAGCAGTGCAGGTCTGATGGTGCTGAAAACACTGGAAGTAAAAAAACATGACCCTCACAGTGCTCCTGGCAGAATCCAGGTGGGAGATGGAGAGTCGATGGAGAGGGGAGATATGTGGAGAGGTGGGAGTGGGAAGGAGGGCAGAGGGAGTGGGGGAGAATCAAACCGGTTGAAATATCGGTTAAAGCCTTTTGCCCGGCGCTGGTCTCCATCAGCTCTGTTCAGTTTCAAACCGATTTAGCATCTTGATTTTTCATGAAAGAAGCCATACGCTGCCTCTGATTGGTTTATAGAGTAAGAAACTGTGTGTGGTAAATTAAGAGCTGAAGGTTTATGGGTGTGAAACCAGTTCCTTTGGTGAATGTTGTTGTGTGTCCTTGGGCAAGAAACTTACCCCACTCCTGTGTGTGCATGTGTGCGTGTGTATGTGTCTGTGTATGCGCGTGTGTGTCTGTGTGTGTGTGCATATGTGTCCGTGTGTGTGTGTGAGTGTGCATGTGTCTGTGCGCGTGATGCCTTGAATGACGAAAAGCATGATATAAATATAATTGTTAAACTATAATTGTTTTAATTAAATACCATTTATTGCCACTGTTCCGTTTCCCCACCTCCAAAACAACAAGGACAATAAAGTTAGCCTGACTCTCGCCAGACTCTTGTAGTTCGCTGAGCATCACACAAGGGTCTGGGATCTCTCAATGGGAGATGTATTTCAGAAGGCGAAGCATCAAAGCCCACGGGTCTCGCTGCGTAGTGTGATTGACAGGAGCAGGTACTTAAAACAAACTTTACACCAAACCTTTACTCTTAAAACTCACATATCACAACATGGAACCATCCACATTTTGCCTCAAATTGTATTAAAAGTGACATGTGTGTCTTCATTTAAGAGTGAGACGCACATGCTCAAGTTTGCATTACGTCAAAAACAGCTGAGGCAGCGGATTTTGAGAAGGCGACTCAAACCAACGTTACACCGGTGAAAAATAATGACCTGTTTGGTCACTATTTTTTCTATCTTGAAGGAATTTGTTCTGCCCTCGATCCTAGACCCTTTGGTGGAGCTCAGGGAAACGCCTCTGGTGGAGCATGGCGGAACTACAAGGATCTTGCGGGAGTCAGGCTCCGAATATTTATATCCAGAAGGTCTCCATCCTTTTTCGATTGGAGAGCGACTTTAGCAGTTGTAGTACACTTGTAGTTTGCACTATTAATGGAGAGATTTTTTTTGAAAGATTGATACTGAAGTATTTACAGCTAGCTTATTTTGTACATTTTGTGTGCTCCCTTTCTGCTCTCACTACTGTCCTATATGTGTGCTGCAACATTGAAATTTCCCCACTGTGGGACGAATAAAGGATCTCTTATCTTAATAACTACAGCAACATACATTATACTACATACTGCATTAATGAACAGATGTATAGTTCATACGACTGCAATGACTCAAAAGTGAATAATTCAGGATCATCTGTTAAATTCTTGAATCGTTTGGGGAGCTACCTGAAAGGGGGCGAGCTACTGGTTGCTCCTGAACCACAGGTTGGATGCCCTTGATAAATGGTATATCATTCTCTAAACCAAAACAATTATCATATTCTTGGGTTTCATTAACCTGGCCAGTAGGGGGCGAATGAGCAGAGGTGGAAGAACTCAGTTTTGCTCCCATTGAAAACCATGTAAATCGTGTCTGTTTTGGAGTCAAAAGGCTCTCCTCCTGTGCGGTGTACGGTTGTTGTAACAGTCTTAACCGGGGACACTCAATTCTAACGGAGTACTAAAAAATATTTCTCAATGGGCATTTTTGGAAAGAAAAACAGAAGAAATTGCTGCGTTTCCTTCGGGTGGCCTGCAGGGGGCGCTTATCTGGGAAAGCCTTAATCCACCTCGCCCGCCTCATTCCAGTGATTTTTTTTTTTCAGTGTCCTTTATATGAGACCACAGTTGGAACATGGAAGAAACTCTTGTCTTTCTCTCTATTTGAGCGGTTGCTACAAGCGTACACCGCACAGAAAGATGGCATTTTGACAGCGCTTCTTCTTCTTCTATATCTCCGTGTATAAACCTGGCAGACAGCACCGCCAGGATACGTCACGTCCTGTTCTACTGCCCTGACGTCATGTGAAACCCAAGAATACAGATTTGCAGCAGTTTGTAACATTGCTCTTCCTCAAAGAAATCTCAATCCCGCTGTCATAATGATAATATTGATAATCGATTAGTCTTCCAATTAATCACTTTATATTTGAGATATTGAAGCTCAGTGAACATAGGATTTTGTTGCACATTTGTCCAAAACAAGAGCTGTGTTGTGTACTCTCTGCTCTCAGCGCCCACAGGGAGACTCTTGCACAGATATTGGTGTTTCTGCAAAGGGAAAATTATCTGAATCTGAAACAAAGCTCCAGTGATGTTTCCTCTGGAGAACCCGTCACAGAGTTGTTTGATTTCAAATACTCAGCTCACTGTAGGTGTAAGGAAGAAGCAAAACAACCAAGATGTATAAAAGGTAACTAAAATCACAAACTAAAAAATAATTTATTTTATTGTCATTCATGTTTATTTTTGTGTGTGTACAAGAAACAAAAGTAGAATATCAAAATTGTGCATAAATAACCCTGAGTTACATTTACATAATACAAAATTATAAATATCATATACACATAAAAACGCTTGCAGATACTCGAAAAGGAGTGGGAAGAAAAAAACGTATTTAATCCCACCCTGGTGTCTTCAAAAAACATATTACTCATTGAGATTCCTATTTGCTCCAGTACAAAAACAAAGTGAGTGTCAAAATAAGTAAAACCGGTAACAAAATAGGAATAAATATCTACAAAACACACAGAGTAAATAAAAAACCTATTGAACGTGCAAGCAATTGACGAAACCAAAAGTGTATTCTAAACTAAAGCGTCTTAACAAAAACTACACAAGTCACTGAACTACAGTAAAGAGCCGATACAAGCGACAGAACACACACAAAACTAAATGGCGAACTAGAGTCCACTAACTCCAGCTGCCGCGAGCCGTGGAAGATTGGCAGCTTGTACGGGCGGGTCCTCCAGGTGAGTGGGAGACTGCCTCCGCTGCTGCCCAATCACCACGGGAGAAACTAAAGTCATCCCCAAAATAGGGATTTCTGCAGTTATAGAAATATCTGAGACTGAGATATATGAGCCTGTTTTAAGGTCTCATTTTACACTTTTGACTCTTCAAACCATTAGAATGAAGTCGAAAATGCCATAGAACCCCAGTATACCATCAATGCTGCAAGCTACTGATATTTGATAATCATTTCAGGGTCCACAAAAATGGTCCCGCAGGCCCGATTTGGCCCACGAGCCTGAGTTGGACTTGCCCGCTGCAGTTTATTGAAACGCATTCCTCAAAGTGAGTGGAGTCTGGAGCTGAGGCCACATCAGTCCCGGCTCCTGTCTCCATCTTTAACCACAACGGTCCGTTCTCGCCGCCGCAGGACGTTTGCGGAGCGTCCGTTTCTCTGAGAAATAGTGTGGACAGAAAACACATCAGTTTTATGGTTTTTCCCAAACAGAGCTGAACCTGGAGAGCACAGGGTCGGACTCTCGCTGCTTTTTCTTCACCTTGAAAAATGTGTTTGTTTACTAAAAAAATCTGTCATTTTTTTGCTTTTCACCAGTAGATTTGGGGTCACCGCCGGCCGCATTGTTTTATATCTGCTTAGTTCTTTTGCACTAGTTTCATCTTTTATTAATGACTTTACAAACTTTCTCCATTTTCTGGTTGGAATTGCCTCAAAGAATCCTGAAACATTATTGACTTTTCTTTCTCTTTGTTCTTGAATGATTGAAGTTTCTCCTGCGCTGAGTTTTTGTCGACACTTTGAGAACATTTTTTTTTTTTTTTGATAAGTGGGACTATGTAGGGCCGAGTAGAGCAGAGTAGGGCAGAGTAAAGCCATGTAGAGCCAACTAGTGTCGAGTAGAGCCTAGTAGAGCCAAGTAGAGCCTAGATAGTAGAGCCTAGTAGATTCTAGTAGAGCCCAGAAGAGGCAAGCAGAGCCAAGTACATCCGAGTAGGGCCAAGAAGAGCCTAATAGGGCAGAGTATGGGCAGACTAAATGTAAATGTGAATGTGCACTTTATTGTATCCGTAGGTAAATTGGTCCTCTGCATTTGACCCATCCTGATGCCACTAGGGCGTACGTCTGGAGCAGTGGTCGCCGTAGTAACAGCGCCCGGGAACCCATCTCCAGACATTGATACTCGGCTTGGTCAGGACTACCGCAGCTGGAGGTCTATACCTGTTGAGCATTTTCTTAGTAGAGCCGATTAGAGCCGAGTAGAGCCAAGTTTTTACCCTGCACATTATGGTACACAACACTTGAGCTCATGTCGTGTGTGTTTGTTTCAGTTCCAGCTCCTCGGAGGTTAAAGCTGAAAGTCCTGAGTCCAAACAAACTGCTGGTGACGTGGAAGGAGCCGAAAGGAGACTTTGACAACTACCTGTTCTCCTACAGCACGTCAGGTACAGACTCACATTTTATAAATATTTGTCACAATTAGGGCTGCAATGTTGTTTTTGATGTTTATTAAAATAGACAATGTTCAGAAGTGTAAGAAGTCATGTCATGTCATTTTCATCCCCTTTATTAGTCCATTTCTGGGTCGGTGGAAATCAGAGCTGCCACCCGGTCCTCAGTGTAAGAAGTCACTAAAGTAAATGCAAATACGCGTGTGTGGCTCTGATGCACGCGCACAGAGGGGCTCGGCTACGCTCTGACCAAACAGCGCTGCTGATCAGAGCAGTGGTAGAGAGGGGTCAGAGCGGGAAGGAAAGGAGCAGAGTTTGTTCCAAAAAAAATGGGGATTTAAAGAAAACCAAAGGATTTAAGAAGAAAAAAAGTTCAGGATGACAACGGAGACAAAAATCCCCACCAAATCCAATATTTCTGAAAGCTGTAGGTTCTCTGTCAGCTGAGGTCGAGCTGTTTTAGTTTACATTAGTACCAAGGGCGCCCCCTGTGTCCATGGGTGGGAGAGCTTTAAGCGAGTAATACCCTATCCAGTTATTATTATAGATCCATGGATTCACCCCTGACGCCAATCTCAAAAACGCTCCGATTTATCTTTCCTGCCATGTGTGGTGTGTTTAAACCACACATGGAAAATGGTCGCTCAGAAGGACTTTGGGTCTGCTCCCATCTCAAATCGCGAATATTCAACATGTTGGATTTTTTTGGCCCGATTTCTCTTCGTGTGTTGTGTCCTCCGGGGACAATATTTCATATTTACAGTCTATGGGACAGTCGAGCACATTTTCAGTGGACTGCGCGGCGTGTAGCCAATCAGAAGACGAGATGACAAGGTGGCGAGTAAAAATCATAACAGTCAGCGACATGCCCATCGCCTTTTCTTTTGAGAACGCTTTTTCTCTGTTAAAAACAAACTGCAAACTATTGCCACTGCATCCTCTTCGTCCTCCACGATTGTTTACTCTGGAGTCACGCTTCATCTCAAAAGATTTTGCAAGATTTCCGTCTGACCCGGGAGTGAAATTGGTTTGTGTGTGGTGTGTGGTTTTGCACCTCACACTGTACGACCAAAGTTGATTGTTTATCTCCGTGTGTGAGGTCTCTCAGGTTTGGAAATGTGGCCAAAAATTCTACAATCGTCTCGTGTGAACCAGGCTTAAGAGACACAGGTGATACACATGAGGGCGGGGCAGGTAATCATACAACAGGAAGTGCAGCTAACGAAAACACACGGCTAACAAGTTTCAATATGAAACAGGAAAATAAACCTAAACCATGACAGAGCAGATCAGGGGTCACTAGAACATCATGCCCAAATACTTAACTCACCACAATGGGAACAGTCTCCCAAAATACACATACACCTGAACGTTTCCAAAATATATGTGAATGGTCCAAAACATCCACGCAACGGAACTGATGCTTCTTTAACCGTTCACTCTTTACTTTGGGTGTGATGAAGAATCTTATAAGGTTCTTCCAGGCATTCTCCCTCCACATGCGAGAGCCGGTGGTGATGTCTCTGAGGACTTTACAACGTTTTAGATTCATCAGCAACAACAGATCAGAGAATCAAACAATTGAAATACGGAAATGTAAAGATAAAAAACACATAGAGCCAATGGTTGAGCCAAATGGTTCATTCCATTTCTGACTGTCCCATGATCCCAGTGGACGGTCAGAAATGGAACGAGACATTTCCTTCTTAACAAAGTGCTGCACGGAGAGCAGAAGATGTGGATCCTATTGGTTCAGTGGAGTTTGAAGAGAAAGACAAGAGATGTTATATCTGTATGTACACACACACACACACACACACACACACAGACACATCAGACACACACACAGAGACGCACACACACATCAGACACACACGCAGAGAAACATACAGACACACACAGAGACGCACACAGACACAGACACAGAGACGCACACAGACTCACACACAGACACATACAGACACGCACACAGACACACACACACACAGACACACAGACACACACACACACACACACACAGACACACACGCAGACACAGACACACATGCAGACACAGACACATATAGACAGGCACGCAGACACACACACACACACACAGACATAGAGACGCACACACAGACACACACACATACACAAACATACTGAGACAGGCACAGGCACGCACACAGACAGGTACACAAAGACACACACACACGTACACACACACACATGGTTCACAGTGGGACAGCTTTATGTCCCGTCACATTTAACACTTTTACATAATGATCGCTGTTCTGCTCCAGTGGTTTTCAGAGCAGATATAATGACTTTAATATATGAAAGTACGATATCTATCTTCATCTCATACTATTTCATAAGTTTATTCCACTGTTGGACTTATTCAGGCAGAAGTTTGAAGCAGAGGTTTGAAATTTTGGCCCAAAAATGAACAGCATCCCACAATAAATTATTTTACGAATGAAAATATATATATATATTTTTTTTTTGACTCCACACATATATCAGAGACTTCTACTACAATCTATCAATCGCCCCTTCTGTTCAAAATCTCCTGTCTCAATCTCAGTCTGATGATTCATTCATGATTGTTGTATGCGGTGAATCGAAACTGTCGATTGGCCAACACAGATCAGAGAATCAAACAGATCAAACACAAGAAAACACTTTGTTCCATAAATGGCAGAGATCAATGTCTCAGTGTATGTTAATTGTACTGCTGTGATGTCACACTCAGAGCAGTTTATAAAAGGCTCATTCTCATGTCTGTGTTTACAGCTGGTTATTTACAAATTTGGAAAAATCAAAACGAAACTCCTCCCTCTGGTGGCAGCATAGGGAGTTACAGGCAGAAAGCATTATTTACCCTTGACACTTGTTTCACTATATACAGTAGAGGTGGGAACCTAAGGGTACCTCACGATACGATACGATACACGATACAAAGCTCACGATAACGATATTATCACGATAACGATATTATCACGATAACGATATTATCACGATAACGATATCACAATAACGATTATCGAGATATCGGTCAGAAATATACAATTTCCCAATTTATGGCATAAATAAAAGAAAAAATACACTTTATTTCATGATAAATGAAATGGAGATGCGTAATGTAGCCATGTATTAAGTATTTATAAAAAATATTTTTTTTTTTATGAAAAAAAAAAAAAAAAAAAAAAAAAAAAAATGCATATCGATAATCGAATTGCGGGAGAAAGTATCGCCCTACGCTCCTAATATACAGTATTTCCTCCTGAAGATACAGTTTTCTCTATTGCTACAACACAAAACCCAGTGCTCTAAACCAAATGAGCAGTTGCCCAAACATCCATCCATCCATCCATTTTCTACCCTTTAATCCATTTCTGGGTCAGGGGGGTGGCAGTCAGAGATGCCACCCAAGTCTCATAGCACCAGCCCCTCACTGACCCTCTGCAGGTGGTGAGTCCACAGGAGGACGGCTGCTCTCTGACTGTGAGCATAGCCTTGATCTTTCAGTGGGGGCTTTTGGGCGAAGTGGGGTTAAGTGTCTTGCCCAAGGACACAACGACAGCAGTCATCAGTGGGAGTCGGTGGAGAAGGTGCAGAGGTGGGAATTGAACCCACGACCTTCAGGGCTTAAGGCCAATGCTCTACCAACTGAGCTACAGTTGCCCAAACACATTTAGTAAAACTACCCCCCACTTTCCACAACCATAAACACAATTCAGCTGTAGACCATGTTCACAAAACCCATCCCCTTTTTCTCAAAACTAAAAAACACATATTTCCTTTGCTAAAACACATTTTGCCTTTGCTAAAACAAATTTTGCATGTAACTCTGCTCTAATATGGATTGTGAAGCTCATGTGAAGCAAAATGCCTCCCACAGTCATCAAAACTTGTCATTCAGAAAACACAACATATCGTAATTGAAAACACCGCAACCACAACTGTATAAGTCAGTGCAGTTTGATGAAGTTTGGATGATCAAGGCAGAAGAAGAGGAGTTTGTGTCAGAGGAGGAGGTCAAGGAGGGAGAGGAGCAGGTAAAAGAGAGAGAGGAGCATGTCAAAGAGAGAGAGGAGCAGGTCAAAGAGAGAGAGGAGCAGGTCAAAGAGAGAGAGGAGCAGGTCAAAGAGGGAGAGGAGCAGGTCAAAGAGAGAGAGGAGCAGGTCAAAGAGAGAGAGTTGTGTAGTTGTTACTGTACTGTTGTATCTGTTGTGTGTAGTTGTTATTGTACTGTTGTATCTATTGTGTGTCATGGATCCTGGAGTTACTCATGTTTGCATTGAGTTGTGATATAACTAAATGTTCTGCATTATAACTATTCTCATGAAACGCACAAATCTATTGTAAATGCCCAAAACAAGAGAATAAATAAGTGTTTCTCAAATGCATCCTGGTGGTTGTGAAACTGTGAAAAGAACAGCCTCACACTCTGAAAGTTGTGTTTCCAGTTGTTTTGTTAATGTGGTCAATGTGGTTAATAGTGTGTACATGTTTGCAGACCATGGGTGGTTTTGTGGTGTCAGAGTTTACTTCTGAGCACATGAGCAACTGTTTTGGTGCGATGGGTCGGTTTTGAAAAGAGACTGTGAGGTTGTGTGAACGTAGCTTTAGTAAAGTGTTTGTTTTTAGAGTTTTGTGAAAAGTGAGGGCAGAATCGTGTAATGTGTTTGAACAATAGAGAAAAACTAATATTTGACTTTCACATGTTTAATGGACAATAATGATGTATATGTATTCTTTAGAGCTTAGAACCTACAACCTACTGTATAGCTTGGGTGCGAACAGAACAGTCACTCACCCCCTCTTCAAAGTATTGGACTCACAACTATTTCATACCCCTGCTTTAGCTCAGAGCACTAATGCATAATGACAGCTTGTTTTATGGGTCTACATTGTACTGTAAAAGAATGCCAAAAAAGTTATTACATTTTGCTAAATTCTTTATAGAACATTTTGAAACCAAAGGGACCAAATCATTACTAAACTAAAGCTGCTTGTTCCATTTGAAAACCCTTTCTACCCTTTAATCCATTTCTGGGTCAGGGGGGTGGCAGTCAGAGATGCCACCCAAGTCTCATAGCACCAGCCCCTCACTGACCCTCTGCAGGTGGTGAGTCCACAGGAGGACGGCTGCTCTCTGACTGTGAGCATAGCCTTGATCTTTCAGTGGGGGCTTTTGGGCGAAGTGGGGTTAAGTGTCTTGCCCAAGGACACAACGACAGCAGTCATCAGTGGGAGTCGGTGGAGAAGGTGCAGAGGTGGGAATTGAACCCACGACCTTCAGGGCTTAAGGCCAATGCTCTACCAACTGAGCTACAGTTGCCCAAACACATTTAGTAAAACTACCCCCCACTTTCCACAACCATAAACACAATTCAGCTGTAGACCATGTTCACAAAACCCATCCCCTTTTTCTCAAAACTAAAAAACACATATTTCCTTTGCTAAAACACATTTTGCCTTTGCTAAAACAAATTTTGCATGTAACTCTGCTCTAATATGGATTGTGAAGCTCATGTGAAGCAAAATGCCTCCCACAGTCATCAAAACTTGTCATTCAGAAAACACAACATATCGTAATTGAAAACACCGCAACCACAACTGTATAAGTCAGTGCAGTTTGATGAAGTTTGGATGATCAAGGCAGAAGAAGAGGAGTTTGTGTCAGAGGAGGAGGTCAAGGAGGGAGAGGAGCAGGTAAAAGAGAGAGAGGAGCATGTCAAAGAGAGAGAGGAGCAGGTCAAAGAGAGAGAGGAGCAGGTCAAAGAGAGAGAGGAGCAGGTCAAAGAGAGAGAGGAGCAGGTCAAAGAGAGAGAGGAGCAGGTCAAAGAGAGAGAGGAGCAGGTCAAAGAGGGAGAGGAGCAGGTCAAAGAGGGAGAGGAGCAGGTCAAAGAGAGAGAGGAGCAGGTCAAAGAGAGAGAGGAGCAGGTCAAAGAGAGAGAGGAGCAGGTCAAAGAGAGAGAGGAGCAGGTCAAAGAGAGAGGAGCAGGTCAAAGAGAGAGAGGAGCAGGTCAAAGAGACAGAGGAGCAGGTCAAAGAGAGAGAGGAGCAGGTCAAAGAGAGAGAGGAGCAGGTCCAAGAGAGAGAGGAGCAGGTCAAAGAGAGAGAGGAGCAGGTAAAAGAGAGAGAGGAGCAGGTCAAAGAGAGAGAGGAGCAGGTCAAAGAGAGAGAGGAGCAGGTCAAAGAGACAGAGGAGCAGGTCAAAGAGGGAGAGGAGCAGGTCAAAGAGAGAGAGGAGCAGGTCAAAGAGAGAGAGGAGCAGGTCAAAGAGAGAGAGGAGCAGGGAGAGGAGCAGGTCAAAGAGAGAGAGGAGCAGGTCAAAGAGAGAGAGGAGCAGGTCAAAGAGGGAGAGGAGCAGGTCAAAGAGAGAGAGGAGCAGGTCAAAGAGAGAGAGTTGTGTAGTTGTTACTGTACTGTTGTATCTGTTGTGTGTAGTTGTTATTGTACTGTTGTATCTATTGTGTGTCATGGATCCTGGAGTTACTCATGTTTGCATTGAGTTGTGATATAACTAAATGTTCTGCATTATAACTATTCTCATGAAACGCACAAATCTATTGTAAATGCCCAAAACAAGAGAATAAATAAGTGTTTCTCAAATGCATCCTGGTGGTTGTGAAACTGTGAAAAGAACAGCCTCACACTCTGAAAGTTGTGTTTCCAGTTGTTTTGTTAATGTGGTCAATGTGGTTAATAGTGTGTACATGTTTGCAGACCATGGGTGGTTTTGTGGTGTCAGAGTTTACTTCTGAGCACATGAGCAACTGTTTTGGTGCGATGGGTCGGTTTTGAAAAGAGACTGTGAGGTTGTGTGAACGTAGCTTTAGTAAAGTGTTTGTTTTTAGAGTTTTGTGAAAAGTGAGGGCAGAATCGTGTAATGTGTTTGAACAATAGAGAAAAACTAATATTTGACTTTCACATGTTTAATGGACAATAATGATGTATATTTCTTCTTTAGAGCTTAGAACCTACAACCTACTGTATAGCTTGGGTGCGAACAGAACAGTCACTCACCCCCTCTTCAAAGTATTGGACTCACAACTATTTCATACCCCTGCTTTAGCTCAGAGCACTAATGCATAATGACAGATTGTTTTATGGGTCTACATTGTACTGTAAAAGAATGCCAAAAAAGTTATTACATTTTGCTAAATTCTTTATAGAACATTTTGAAACCAAAGGGACCAAATCATTACTAAACTAAAGCTGCTTGTTCCATTTGAAAATCCTTTAATTCATTCTTTTAAGATCGTCAAAATGATTTCAAACTCCTTCATTGAGTGGATAGCACTCTCGCCTCTCAGCAAGAAGGTCCTGGGTTCGAGTCCCGGTTGGACCAGGGCCTTTCTGAGTGGAGTTTGCATGTTCTCCCCGTGTCTGCGTAGGTTTCCTCCGGGTGCTCCGGTTTCCCCTACCACTAAAAATATGTACAATAGGTCTGGCATGTGCCTCCTGAACTGGCGACCCCCACTCCCAAAAATAACAATTGTAAACCGCTTTGAGACTCCGATGTGCAGTGAAAAGGCGGTATATAAATAAAGATGACTTCATTCTTTGTAGATGACAAACACGATCTCTCTGCCGTCCACAGGACTCAGGGGGAAAGAGACCTCTGCTCTATCATGGAGTTTGAGAATCTGCAAACCTGTATTTATTTGTGGTGCAAACACAAAATGCAAATTTCTGTTGTTGTTTTATTTTATTCATGATCTGTAATGGATAGAGCGGCGTCTAAAGACTCCTGCAGACTGATGACAGACACAGTTCTAGTTAAACCCAGTTCTCCACAAACACTGATGAATGAACAAACACAGAAACACATTAACATGGATCTGCAAAGTTCACTTTTATCTGATCTCATTAGAAACGACTTCTCAAACCTCGGACGAGTTGTTTCAGTATAAAGTGCTCCTTCACACAGATCCACAGAATAATCCCTGGGCTTAAATTATGTGAATCCAGATGTTGTTAATATAGATTTATTTTTATGGAGTGAGGAGTTCTTACTGAAACTATGTGAACAATATGTGATAAAAACTTCTATTTAGCGTATAGCTTTAAAATGAAAAGAAAAGAAGTGACTCCTACAGTGTTCAGTTTGGAGAGTTCACTTGCACTAGATGACAAGTTTATTTGTATAGCACAGATAAACACGAGGCAACTCAAGGTGATTAACAAAAGATAGAAACAGTCACACAAGGCATCAATAATCGCAGTACATTAAAAAGAGTGAAAATACAATACAAGTTTAGCACAGCTAACAAAACTGTTTTTAACCTGGATTTGAACATTGTCACACAACAAGTCTGTCTCATATTTTCAGGAAGACTGTTCCGGATTTTAGCTGCATTAATCTGAAATGCTGCCTCCCTATGTTTAGTCCTGACTCTGGCACCAGCAGGAGGCCAGTCCCTGTGCTCCTCAGAGTCCCAGCAGGAGGCCAGTCCCTGTGCTCCTCAGAGTCCCAGCAGGAGGCCAGTCCCTGTGCTCCTCAGAGTCCCAGCAGGAGACCAGTCCCTGTGCTCCTCAGAGTCCCAGCAGGAGTCCAGTCCCTGTGCTCCTCAGAGTCCCAGCAGGAGGCCAGTCCCTGTGCTCCTCAGAGTCCCAGCAGGAGGCCAGTCCCTGTGCTCCTCAGAGTCCCAGCAGGAGGCCAGTCCCTGTGCTCCTCAGAGTCCGACTTGAGTATAAATATTTACTAATGCGACATGTTGATCTCTACATCACAGACAGAAGCATTGTATATCATATTGAAGAAAAAAAAAACTTTGAATTCAATTTTTTTTTTGTCTAGAAAATGGTTCCATTTCCATGTATTTTTCCCAAGGGCAGAATGTTTTGGACCCTGTGGTCCCTGTGGTCCCTGTGCTCGGGGCAGTTTGCATTGCATCACCACTTTGAATCAAACACAGAGTTTATTTCAGTTTCAATTCATATTTTGTGGAAATTAAATTCCAAACCAAAGCAGTCTGGACTGGGCTTTTATCGACCAGATACACCAGGACTGAAACCAGGAAGACCACACTTTTAACTTTTCAAACATGTTAATGATTAAAAAACAAATGATTACATTTATCTTGTTTTAAGGCTGACAAAATGAAAAATAATCAAATTTTGGAAATTCTCACTTGAAAGGCTTCTGTATTTGAAAGAATACATGTTTGTGTTTTTATATTATTTACTTCCTGGTTTTATCTCAACACATTAGTTCTATTGGATTATTGTCCTGTTGATTGTCTGCTGTTCCTTTGTCTTTGTTTGGTTTTTTCCTCTGTTCTACTTGGACTGTTTGAGTTCGGTTTTCACATTAATAACTATTTTTCTATTTTTAAGTCATATAATTGTGCGTTTCTCTTTTTTGTGTTCTTGCCTTATTTGATTTCATGACAGCTCGTCCCGTTTGTAAATCTTCTTCTGGGACGTGTCATGTACTTTAACAAACTTGACTGAGTATTGGGTGACCTTGTGCAGAGAACATGGGCTGAGGGCTGGATGATGTTGTTGGATTGTTTGGGAGACCTGATAAAGTTGAACAGTGGTGTTTGTGATAAGAGCAGACTGACAGGTGTGGTCTGTGACTGCGAGAGAATCTGGACTCAACTGAACCTGCTCTGACCTTCACTGGGAGTTATCTGACCACTCTAGGTGTCATTACTCACAGCAGACAGGTGGAGGCACACACACAGAGACAGACACACACAGACACAAGCACACACACACGCACACACACACACACACTCCTTATTGAGGCCAGACTGATGCTGGGTCACGATTAGAACAGCCTGATGCTGTGACCCGCTGTGGGGAGGGTCTGTGTGTGTGTGTGTGTGTGTGTGTGCTGTTGTCTCTGTGTGTGTGTGTCTGTCTAGCAGTGTCTGTACCTACCTGTGTGTGTGTGTCCATGTCTATTTGTGTCTTTGTCTTTGTGAGTCTCTCTCTGTGTGTGTGTGTGTGTGTGTGTGTGTGCGTGTGTGTGTGTATGTCTATTTGTGTCTTTGTCTTTGTGAGTCTCTGTGTGTGTGTGTGTGTCTGTGTGTATGTCTGTCTATGAGTGTCTGTACCTGTGTGTGTGTCTATGTCTATGTCTATGTCTTTGTGTGTCTCTGTGTGTGTGTGTGTGTGTGTGTGTGTGTGCTTGTGCATGTGTATGTCTATTTGTGTCTATGTCTTTGTGTGTCTCTGTGTGCCGGTGTCTCTGTGTGTGTGTGTCTATGAGTGTCTGTACCTGTGTATGTGTGTGTGTGTGTCTGTCTGTGAGTATCTGTACCTGTGTGTGTGTGTGCGTGTGTGTGTGCCTGTGTGTGTTTGTGTGTATGTCTGTGTGGAGCCACCGCTTATTTCAGGTCAAACTCGGGCAAAAACTGCACAAACGTCAAAGTCACTTTCATTGGACCTGCAGCCGCTGGTTTGTGGCCAGACTCTCTGCAAATCATTCAGAGCTGGAAAAGCACCAGTGACCAAGTGTTGAGATTGGTATTTGAACTTCTATGACTCTATTTCCAGACATTTTAACCAATTTATTTAACCAAATCAATTCAATGTATTTTCTCAATTCACCAACACAGATCAGAAAATCAACCAGTTGAAACACAGGAAATGCAACAATAAAAAACACATTGGTCCATAAGGGGTGGATGATTGTGATTACAGTATGCCCATAAATGTTATTAGCCCTAAATGGGGGTGAAGTGTCTTGCCTAAAGGACACTACACTGTGGCACCTGGTGTTCCCTGAGGTCTCCCATCACAGCACTAACCAGACCTTGCCCTGTGTCGCTTCTGAGGACAGCTTGGAGAGGTGAATGCAGGTCGATACGCTTGTGTTGCATTGGTCATTGCTCCTACTGATTGTGCTGAGGTCTACTAACAACTGACCTCCTATGTGGGCAACTGAGTGGAGTGTCTGCGTAGGTTTTCTCTGGGTGCTTCGGTTTCCTAGCCTGGCTCTGCCAGACCCATGTAGTTCCGCCATGCTCCACCAGAGGTGTTTGTCTGAACCGCATTGGTCTGGTATCGAGCGTATACCAAACTCCTTCTGCAGATCAGAAAATAATCGACCAATCAGGAAATCTAACTCCTATCAAAGAGTCCCAGACCAATGTGGCTCAGCCAAACACCTCTGGTGGAACATGGCGGAACTACATGGGTCTGACAGAGCCACTAAAAACATGCACAATAGGTATGAATGTAATGAGTGAGTGAATGGATGGTGTTGATTGGAGGCTTTCATGCACCAGTGTGTCCGTGGCTCGCTTCATTCATCACTGTGTGGAGAGAATGGATCGATATCTGAACTCTGAACATTAAAAAGTGATTTGGGTGACCTAGGTCTGTAAAAATGTGCTATATAAATAAAGATTACTTACTTATTAAGCTATGCCATGAGCTCGGCGACTGATATACGTCACACTTTTGCACGCTGAGGCCAAGAACGCACTGAAAGAGAGACGTCCGGACTGAGAATTGTTAGCTTGTTTACTTTAGCTGTCAGTTCTTATGGCGACATGTTTCTGGACCAGAAGACTGTCCTGTTAAAGAAGCCACAGACATAAACTCTGTACAAAGATTGTGTGTGACGGACATGCTGCCCACACAGTAATACTTCCTTCACCTTTATCAAGCCTATTAGTCACTTCCTTGTATCATTGATTCGTTTATTTATTTATTTAAAAAGGGACCATGTACAATTAGAACATAAATGTATTTTTTTTTCCCATTCTCTGTCCATCTCATACATTACCAGTTCTGACACTTATGTTGTGTTTTTAGTTTGTGTAAGATCAGTCGTACAGGGATTATTCAAAACAAAGGAAGGTTGCTGTACTTCAGTTAGCAAGCGGCTGAGCTTTCATTCCCTTGAAAAATGTATTTGTATCAAAAACGAAATGTCGGGAAAACCTGCTAACTGAAGTACAGATGATGGGTGAGCAACCTTCCTTTGCTGTGTTTCAGGTTAACTCATAGATTATTTATTGTGTTTTTAGAGTGACGGGCTGCAGGACCACTGTGGTTCACTGGGAATGGGATTTGTAATCAAACAAATCTATGCAGAGATCTTAACTCTTTTAGGTCTGTACAGGCAGAATGTGTAACAGATGTGACGTTTTTTGTCAATTCTTTTCTAAAAATCAAACTTGAGAAAGAAACATTTGTCTGGTTTCACATTTAATTGGTTTACTTTATGGAAGTAATCCCTTTGTTTCTACTCTGTTTAATGAAAAGATATATATCTTAATCAAATGTGGATATGAAAATATTAGAATAGACAGTGGCTCAGTTGGTAGAGCATTGGCCTTAGAGCCTGAAGGTCGTGGGTTCGAGCCCACAATGAGACCTATACCCCATTCATGTCTACTGTCATTGTGTCCTTGGGCAAGACACTTAACCCAACTTTGCCTGAAGCCCCAGCTGAAAGATCAAGGCTCCTGTGGACTCACCACCTGCAGGAGGATCAGTGAGGGGCTGGTGCTCTGTGACGCATACACATACACTATAGAAAACTTGACTAATGTATAAAAGAGTTATGTTCTAGCAACTTCTAATGGACTGAATTTAGGTACAGTATTTGGATGAATGAACAACAATAATATCTTTTAATTAATAATATTATTCATGTCTAATATTTGGCCTTCTGTCACACTTGTGTACACTTTAGTGTGAACAAGCCCATGTACAGTCTCTCACCACATCAATTGCTTGCTTGCAATTGACGTCATGTCCGCCTCATTACTTATGCGTATCACTAAGTGGTGGTCAGCCGAGCTAGTTGTTCACTAGAGCAGCGTGTCTGAATATACCTTTTGCATGTGTTGTTTTAAGTTTTCTAACCAATCGAATTGTGAAACCTTTATTGGATACTTTAGGATTCCTCATGAAGAGATTAATAAAGAGCCTCGCACTAAGGACTTTACGAAAAGACGCAGGAAAAGTGGCTCGCTAACATTTCACTAGCAAACGCTTTAACCTCCAGGATTATTTATTTACCCAGCCATGGAGTCACAATGCTCAGTTATTACATCCCCATCTTTATTTAATGATCAGGTATGAGTTGGTGTTTTAAATAAACACTGAATGTTTGACCTGAAAAGAACACAGCCACAGACGCATTGTTTTGTTGAGAATAATAAGTTCTTTCACCGATCGTTACTTACACGGCTCTGTACGATGCAGGATGTGTCCTTCAGGACCTTAACTCTGAGTTCTTAAACCCACAGACGGAAAAGTTGCAGTATCCATGTTTTTCCAAACCTTCATTTGTTTAGCAGTGCAAAAGCTTCATGGTAACACTAGCTGTGGATTAGAATCTAAAGTGAAGAAAAAGACAGTCTAGGATCGTGTCTTTAATTCAGACAGAAGACATATTGTATTGTCGATGGTAGAGGCAGCATAAACCAAGACGTTACAGAATGTAAGTGACATACAGCGGAGGAATGGAGACTTATTAGCATTGTTAGCATATTAGCATTTTCCCCGGTGCCAGTAGCTTCAACCTTGATATTACCAAAACATGTAGTGGAAAAATTCTGCCTTGTGCATATTGTTAGAATGATGAGTTAGAACGTTCACCACAGTAGCTTCAAAGTGTCATGAAATATCAAAAAAAGCAAAAAAATACTCGGAAGAGTTGCATTTTCTCCACATATCAGCAGAAACTCTAGCTGGCCTGACCACCACTCCGTCAACCGGAAGTTTATGCGTCATGTGACTGCAAGCCAAGTATACAGTCCATGGATGAGTTGTTTAGAGAAATGTGTGTATAGTTCTTTCCACCATCATTGGTCTCATCAGTGATAATGATGAATCCTCTTACAGAGCAGATATCGAACATATTTTTCAGTGGAGTAACTACCTCCAGCTGAACACAACAAAAACATGTGAACTTGTTTTTGATTTCAGTCGCACCAGTTCTCACACGCCTGTTGTTATTGACAACTCCCAGGTGCAGAAATGGGACAAAAATACTACCCGGGTCGTTAAGAAAGCTCGTCAGCGGCTCTTCTTTTTACGGAAACGTAGAGAATTTTCCAATAACTCTAAGATTCTGCTTAACTGTTATCGCTGCACCATTGAGAGTTTGCTTGTTGGTTCTGTGTCTGTGTAGTTTGGAAACATCACAGATAAAGAAAAGAGAGCTTTAAACAAGGTGCTCCGCTCTGCAAAGAGGACCGTGGGCTGTGAGACCAGAGAGAGACCAGAGAGAGACCAGAGAGAGACCAGAGAGAGACCAGAGGGAGGACTGTGGGCTGTGAGACCAGAGAGAGACCAGAGACCGTGGGCTGTGAGCTTCCTGTTCTGGAGGTTCTTTATAAATCCAGACTTTTAAACAAAGCTCTTAAAATCATCAAGGACTCTTCTGGCCACCCTGGGAAAGCCATGTTCCAGCTTCGTCCCTCTGGCAGAAGATATCGGTCGCTGAGATGCAAGACATCTCGCTATGCTAACAGCTTCTTTCCACAGGCTGTTAGGTGCCTAAACAGAGCACTTTAATTGTTGTTTTTACCCCTTGTATCGGTTTTTTTGTCGATCGGTGCCACAGTGTCAGCTGTTTTTATTCATGTTCAGTGTATGTGTATTTTATATTACATTGTATTGTGCTCTTTATTCTGTTGGTGCGCACAGAGTATGTGGTTTTGATACCGCACATGGCAAATAAAATGAATCTGAATCTGAATCTATGAATCAGACTGAATGAAAAACCTCGCTCTCTCCCACAGACGGACACCAGAAGCAGATGTCGGTGCCGCAGTCGGAGCACCGCGTCCTGATCACAGACTTCAGTCCTTCCACTCGCTACAGCGTGAGTGTGACGGCGGTGCGAGGCGGCCTCCTCAGCAGAGCCCTGCAGGCCACATACAAAGGTCAGACCTCCTCCAAAACCTTTCAATTACACTTTTCAAATCTTCTCCAGCCTCCATTTCCTCTCAAATCCGCTCAAATCACCACTTAATGTCTAATAAGCACATTACATTACCTGGGCTGTATAATTTTCTCCTCTCCAATTTCCTGATGTAACCCCATTGTTTTTCCTCCTTTAATTCTTCCTGTTTCCTTGGTCTTGGCCACAAATGTAGATGTTGTTTTGACCATTTCTCGCTCAATGCTTTTCTATTTTCAAACGGCAATGACAGAAAGTCTTCTTCTGACCCTGATTAAAAGTCTCCATCCCCACTTAACATTTTTTTGTTGTCATTGTGGTTATAGAAAGAGAGATTTCATGTGAAAATGAGTTCCATTGGATTCTATTTCAATTTGTTTTTGCACGGCCCTAAATCACAACAGTAGTAATCTCAGAGGACTTTACAAAGTTGTCAATTCGCCAACACAGATCAGAGAATCAAACCGTTCAAACACATAGAGGCGTTGGTCCATAAGGGACGGATGATAAATACATGTTCTTAAATGTTGTTAAATGTTTTTACTTTGACCAATCACATGCAACCTTTAGTGCACACCTTGAAAGTCCTGCTTTGTCATTGGCCAGAGCAAGCGGCCAATGAAACTCACAGAAACTCACACGATGAAAGAATCCAGGGGGAGATAAGAGCAGTGTATATTGTGTATTTGACAATATTTGACTTCACACAACCACTGACAATGAGTGAAAAAATCTGGCCAAAACAATTGCATTTCTGCCTGCGTGTGTGTGTCCATACGTGCTTGTGTGTGTGTGTGTATATGTGTGTGCATTTGTGTGTGTGTGTGTGTATGTACGTGTACCCGTGTGTGTTCCTGTGCATGTCTGTGTCTGCGTGTGTGAGTGTCTGTGTGTCTGTGTGCATGTGTGTGTGCGTGTCTGTGTGTCTGTGTGCATATATGTGTGTGCGTGTCTGTGTGTCTGTGTGTGTGTGTGCGTGTGTGTATGCATGTATGCGAGTGTGTGTGTGTTGAGCTATTAAAAAGCCTGATGTGTGTTGCTCTGTGTGTGCTGTAGGAGAGAGGGGCGACAGCACGGAGCCCCAGAGGCAGACAGACGGAGCGCAGCCTCCAGACGAAGCCAATGAGATTTTTGGAGGTAAGAAAAGTTCCACAAATCCTCCTCACTCCTGACAAGTGCCTGAGAGCGTGGGTTTGGGAAGCCTCCCGGTCTCCTTGGCATTTCGATGCTTCCAATCACCATCTGCAGCCGGAGATTAATAACACTCTAAGGCACACAACTTTACTGTCACGGTGGAAATGAGGCTGAGGACGTCACAACAGCATCTACAAGGACTTTCTGGACTATAAGGCGCACCTGTACACTGTATATAAGCCGCAGCAACTAGGTTTGAAAAGAAAATCAATGTTGTCCACATATAGACCGCACTTGAATAAAAGCCTCAGGTTTTCATGTTGTAATGTTTTAGAGAGAAAACTATTTTAACTGGACAGGATTAAGTTCCAGGCTGTTACTATAAATAAACAAGTGTCCTGCAGCCACTAAAACTTAATGGAGTCCAAGTAATAAGTCCATAAACTCAACAGCTCACATTGACAAACAGTTATTGCTTGAAATATGTCTATCTATTTATATTTTTTAATAGATATATAGTACTTTACTGTCAGACACAAGGGTCCGAAATTTGTTTTGCACCGTTCAGCAGCTCCATTCAACATAAAATGTAAACACAAACACTAAGGCTGCGGTCACATGCAAAGCCTAAAGCCCGGTTAAAGTGGGCCAGGGCCCATGTTGCGATTTGATCCGTGATTTAGATGCCATCTGACCGCGGCAAGTGGGCTTGAGCGTGCACAGGCTCGTTTAAAGACTTGGGCCTGAGCATGCTTTGCAGCGCAAATGAGGGGGGTCAGTGTGGCGGGTGGTGTGGAGTGGGGGATGAGGTGTGGTTCGGACATGATATTGTGCGTCACATTACGTCTTCCTGTGACACGCTTTTCACACACTCTCCCTGCACTTTCGTATTCTCTGCTTGCGTTAAACCTTTCATATAAGCCCCGGACTGTGATCGAGGGGCGCTGGGGAGTGCTGCACTTTGCCTCAGAGCAATGTGGACAAGTGTGAGATGTGTCTTTCCCTAAACAACGATATCCGTACTGAGCTGTTAGTAGCAGAATGTAAACAGGAAGAGAGACGGAAACTCAACCAGGACAACAAGGTCGTCTCTGGAGTTAGTATCAGCGCCACCAGCTGGACCGAGTGTTGTACTGCAGCACATTCACTCTAAGAGAACATACAAGACACCCTTGCAATGAAACATTTCAGTTCATGGTTTAAGCTCCTCATTTAGTTGAACTGATGGACAAAATAATTCAGTCTGACCTTATTAAAGAGAGGCACACAGTACCGCCGCCCTGGTGCTAACAGCACATACTCTGAGTTTATGGCTGGGGTCAGAGATGATGTTCTTTTCCAGCTGCAGAGTACTTTTATGATGCGTGGTTTTGTGGAATCCGTCCAGAGACAGAATCTTTGGGCAGATTCTGAGCAGGTGTCTCAGTCCAAATGTGGCTGTGGCAGAGAGGCGGCTGTACCACACAGCCTCTGGTGACAAAGAAAATATACTTGGGAGATTGTTTGGACTTTTCACAGATGGATGTTTTTAATGGCCTTAAACATCTTGATTCTACTAAAGTCATCTTTGTCAAATAAATAGGCAAGGCTAATTTATTTATAAAGCACCATTCATACAGAAGCAACACAGGGTGCTTATCAGGCACAGAAAGAACATTGGCAAACAATAACATGAACAAAAATGATGAAATATAGAAAATATTACAATATATATATACATACATATGTACATACGTATATAATACCTAAATAGACACACACACATAAACATGCTTCTGTAATAATAATTAATATATTATTTACATATGCATACAGTACATACACACATACATCCTTAAACATGCATATACATACGATAACGTTTCTAAAAAGAGCATGGGCTTATGTAAATGCTGAGGCAAATAGCCATGTTTTAATGCCTGATTTAAACGCTCCTATAGTTGGAATAGTTCGCAGTTCATGTGGAAGAGTGTTCCACAGACGAGGAGCATAAAAACTAAATGCTGCTTCAATCTTTTTGGTTCTTACAATTCGAAGATAACATCCTAGTCCTGATCCTGACATCACAAAGAGAACTATACTCTCCAAAAACGGCTGAACTTAAAAACAAAACCCAATGTTGAAGCCTCCTGATGCATTGGGTTTGTTTAGTTTAATATCAGTAAATGAGGAAATCAGTGCTGCGGCCTGAGTCTGTGCAGCTACAGTAGGAACCATCCTGAGACTTGGCACGAGCCGCACACTGTTATAAATAAAACACAAATGAAAGAATTCTTTGGCTCGTGCTGCGCGTAATAATCAAATTAAACCCAAGATCCAATCGTTTCACATAATCAGTGACGGCTGCGGGCTTCAGGATCCAGAGCCAGCGAACGGTTTGGAGCGAAAGCCACAGTTTTTGACGAGGAGACAGATCAGGAAAACTGGTCTGTAACGATATTCTACCTCCTCAACAACAGACCTGCAGTTGTTTTTAGCTTCACTCCTTCAGGTTCTTCATCCCCCGCCCCATCTGTCGAAATGCTCCTATCTCAAACTACTTACACTGGAGTCTCATTCCCACGCGGTAACACAATAACAAATTTGACACGATAAATGCAAACAGTTTTCTCAGCTGTTGCTTACATTAATGTATATTCTCGTGCAAAGACATATAAACTTGTATGTATACATCTGGAGATAGATCTGTAGCGTTCTCTAGTGCAGTGTTCTCAAACGTGCGGCCTGAGGGCTGAAAATCGCCGGTGAAATTGTATCTAACCAAGGTCACCCAAACATTACAATGTTCAGAGTTCAGATCCTTCAGAGCCTCCAACAAACAACGTTCAATCACTCATTACATTCTTATCTATTGTACATGTTTTGTTTTTAGTGCTGAGGGAAACCGGAGCATTCGGAGGAAACCGGAGCAGACACAGGGAGAATGTGCTGAGAAGCAAGAGTGTTAACCATTGTTTGGCCAAGTAGTACAGTAGAAAAAGTAGAAAAAACCTTAGGTAATAATTGCTTAAATCGAATAGGCAAGGCAAGGCAAGTTTATTTATATAGCACTATTCATACACAGGGCAATTCAAAGTGCTAAACAAAATAAGAAAGCATTAAAATCATAAATAATCACAGAACATTAAAAAGAAAGATAAAAATATAAAATCCCTCAGTTGTATGCACAGCTAAACAGAACTGTCTTTAACCTGGTTTTAAACATTGTCAGAGAGGAATAGTTTTTATCTTGATTGAGTTCATTCCAGTGTGTTAAAACATGTCTTTCTTCAAGAACTGTTGCTTTATTTTCTCATTCCAAGGAAGACATTTCTTGTATCATATGTATCATACTTTGTCCCTGCCACTGCTTGCACTCGTTGGCAAAAGCCATTTCTATTCCCTGACAATTGACCTTTTTTTATTTATTTATTTTTAAATTACTATTCTTATATTGGTAACGAGATACTGCATCTTGTATCTTTTTAAGACAAGATTATTTTGCTTTGTCCCATTAGCAATTGTTTTGCTAATTGTTTTTCAGAATGTGTTCAAATCAAGATGTTGCCAGTTCAGAGCATTTTTGAACATATTTTGTATCAGTTTTTGCAGTGCAGTAGATCCACATTGCACATTCTAACATTATTGCACACTATTGCACAGATGCTGAGGTGTTTATGAAATCAAACTTATCTCCTCCACCAGGATGTACTTAGACTTTTATGATGCTGCTCCTGAGACCTCATAGAAATGATCTCTGGTTCAAAATACTTTTCCAATTGTTTTCATCCTAAACTAATAATCTGTGTTTGTTTTCGCTGCTGCTTCGCTCCCGGAGTCTTCCTCGGAGGTGACCTTGAATCCATAGATTAGAATAATTTCTTCTGCATTTCAGTAAAACAGTTTTGTTGGAAATAGTGCGTTTTTCTGAGCTCGCTGAATCGTGTGACTTATTAAAACATGTGGGCGGAATGTTTGAACAGTTCTTTGTCTGAAAACATCACGAGTGTAGTTTTAAAATCCTCTCTGCACAAACTCAGGAAAGAACTGCCGAGGATTTCATTGCATTTTAAATCTCTTTTCAAACAACACCACGTCCTGCTTTTTCACAGACACAACACTTGAATAAGAACATGTATGTGTACATTGTATCAGCACATTTTATATTATGTGCTTAAATAAAGATAGAGGATTGTAAAGCTGGGGTTAGTAACTTTTGCCTTACTAATGAACAGCTAATTAAGTAAGTAAGTAAGTAAGTAATATTTATTTATATAGCACCTTTCACAGACAAAGGTCACAAAGTGCTTCACAAAACATACAAATATAAATAAAAGTACATTTACATTTACAATCACAAAACATGGTGGTCATAAAACAACCCCTTTCCCACTGGAATTAAAATGCTTTTTCAAACAAGTATGTTTTCAGTTTACACTTAAAAACATCAACACAATCAAGTAAGCGCAAGGAAAGCGGAAGATCGTTCCAGAGCGTCGGCGCGACCACCTGGAAGGAGCGATCTCCTCTCGTCTTGTAACGGGTACGAGGGACCATGAGAAGGTTCTGATCCTGAGACCTCAGCCTCCGAGAGGGGGTATAAGGACACAACAAGTCTCTAATGTAAGAGGGACCCTGACCATGCAAGGCTCTGAAGGTCAACACCAGGGTTTTAAAATTGAAACGAAAAGTGACTGGGAGCCAATGGAGGGCTTTTAGAATGGGAGTAATATGAGCCCGTCTGTTTGTGCGAGTCAGTAACCTCGCCGCAGAGTTTTGTACCTGCTGAAGGCGGGACAACTCCTTTTTGTTTAGACAAGAAAATAAACTGTTACAATAGTCTAAACGGGAAGACACAAAGGCGTGGATAATAATTTCAAGGTCATCCCTTGGCACAATTGCTCTAAGTTTGGAGATTTTTCTCAGTTGGTAAAAACAGTTCCTTGTCAGCAGTTTTGAGTGATGCTCTAAGGACATTGCTTTGTCAAAGTTAACGCCTAGATTTCTGAGGCTTGCTTTAGTAGACAAACTCAGATCGCCCAAATACTGGTGAATCCCT